GGAGAAGGTTCCCCCTGAGCCTCCTTTTCTCCAGGCTGAGCCCCCCCCGGTCTCTCAGTTCTCCAGCCCCTTCCCAGCTCCATTCCCAGCCCTGGACACGCTCCAGCCCCTCGTGTCTCCTGGAGGCAGGGGGTACCTCATATCCAAAGGTCAGTGCCATGATGGTGATCAGGAACCCAAAAAACGCCTCCAGCTTCCGCAGGCCTGTGAGGAGGGAAAGGCCCCTTGTCAGCAACCCAAGAAACCCTCAATCTCAGATTTAATTCCCGGAATTCTGAAGGATAAATTACCATATTTGTCGAGGAAGAGGAAGACGAAGGTGTCAGCGATGGTGATGAGCACCCCCCCCCCAGAGCGGGATCCTGCGGGCGAGAGCAGGGTCAGTGCACACCCAGAGTCCCAAATGCCCTTTATTTAGGGCTTTTTTGGGATGGACCTGCATGTCCAGGGATTCTTCCCAGCCTGAGCAGGCGTTGGGATGTGCAGGGCTGTGTCCTGCTCCGCAGGAGGTGACCCTCTGAATCCTGAGGGAAACCCCAGGTCTGCCTGTTCCAGTTCCATTTCCTGCCTTCCCAGCTCAAAGGACACCTTCCCAGGAATCCTCTATGGGATGTGGAGTTTGGTAGGAAGCTGCACCCCAATTGTGTACCAGTCAGAGCTAAAATCAAACCCAGACCCCGTGGGTCCCACAGTCGAAATTCAGCACCGGAGGCTGAGTCAGCGATGAGACCTCGGCTGGTGGGGGTGACTCACGTCCTCAGGGTTGAGCTGGGGGGATTTATGGGGTGATAGAGTTTTTGGTTCCCCTTTCTCCTCATTTCCTGCACAACCCCAACTCACTTGCCCACAGAGAGCAGGTTGATGGCGATGGCCGAGCCGATGACCTCCTGCATGTCCGAGCCGATGATGGCGAGTTCCACCATCAGCCACAGGATGATCCGAGGGAACTGGGGGCAAAGAAACACCCAATGCCATGAAAAACAGGGGAAAATGTCTTCTCCCATGGGGCTGTGGTGACCTCGTGTGCAGGAATAGGATCCTCTCCCTGCCCTGGTTGTTGGTGACCATCACTAAAGCTGTCCTGGAGCTGAAATCCCAGCTCCCATGGCAATCCCGGGGAGGATCCGGGTCACTTGTGTCACCCCATTCCTGCCCTCGATACGTCCCATTGCGAGAGTGAGACGTGGTATTTCCCTGTATGGACATGCTGGGAAGGAGCACTGGGGCATGTTCCAGGTGGGAGCAGTGACAAGGTGTCAGGGTTGGATGAGGAACACCCAAGGGCACAGAGACCAGACACCCCCAGTGTCCCCACAGCCCTTCCCAGTGCACAGGGCTGGGACATTCCCAGTGTCCCCACGGCCCTTTCCAGTGCACAGGGCTGGGACATTCCCAGTGTCCCTACAGCCCCTGCCCGGGCCAGCCATGCTCATCATCATCAGCCTTTCCTTACACAAGCCTGAGGAATTCCCAAGCAAAGGATGGAACAGCCAGGGAGTGGTTTTGACCTAAAGGGCCGTTTCTCTCCCCCTAATTCCTTTGGATTATTTCAGTATTCCTGCCTCAGGAGGCAGCTGAAATCCCGTATTTTATTCCCGACTGGCAAATGCCAACATCCCTCCCCTCCCTCCTTGTGCTCCCCAAGCTGGGACAGCACTGAGGGACCCCAAAACACTCTCCACCTGCCCCATTAACAGCCCAGGCCCTCACCAAGCCCTCATGGCACCACCAAGGACATGGGGGAGGTTCACCCACCTTTTGATCCCCCCATCTCCTCCAGCCCCCCAGCACTGTCCCAGCACCCCTTGGCATCCCCCAGGGCCCTGTGGGGAGGTCGCCCACTGTCTGAGCCCTCCACGCCCCAACCCCCCCCAGCACTGTCCCAGCCTCCCTCGGCACCCCTGAGGGCACCGTGGGGGTGTCACCTACCATCTGAGCCCTCCATGCCCCCCATCCCCCCAGGACTGTCCCCAGCCCCCCTTGGCATCCCCCAGGACCCCATGGGGGTGTCACCCACCTTGTGGTACTGGCGGTTGCAGACCTCAGCCAGGTGCAGCCCCGTGACCACCCCCAGCCGCGCCGCCAGGCGCTGCAGCAGCAGCCCGATGAGCGTGGCCAGCAGCAGCACCCACAGGAGCTGCAGGACAGGGGGACAGGCGGGACACACGGATATGAAGACACAAATGGGTGAGGAGACACAGAGAGTCACCCACAAGGCCCCAGGCCTGCCCCAAACCCACAGTTCTGCGTTGAAAATCCAATTATTGACATTTTTGAGGCAATTACACACCGGGAGCTGCGTGGGACAGGACGGATCCAAAGGGACACAGAGGTAGGATCCAGGACCCTCCTGCCCCCCCTCCTCCCCAGGGTGTTCCCACCACCACCAGCCCCACATTCCAGATGGGATGTGGGTCTCCCCTGACCTTGAAGCCGGCGACGGCCCCGGACTGCAGGTCGGACTCGATGTTCCCGGGGTCCAGGTAAGCGATGCTCATCAGGAACCCGGGGCCCGTGAACGCCCACAGCTTGCGGAAGCTGAAGCAGGAATGCTGTGGGAAAAGAGGGACACGGGCAGGGCTTGGGGCAGCGCCCTCACTGATACTGCAGACAGCAGCTGGAGGGTCAGCCTGAGCCTTAACCCCATCCTAACTGATCAGCCTGAGCCTTAAACCCATCCTAAACTGATCAGCCTTAGCCTTAACCCTGTCCTAAATTCCTGCCTGATCCTAATTCCTGTCAGCCTGATACTTAATCTCATCCTAAACTGATCATCCTGAGCCTTAACCCCATCCCAAACTCCTGCCTGATCATTAATCCTGTCAGCCTGATGCTTAACCCCATCCTAAAATCCTGCCTATTCCTTAATCCCATCCCAAACTCTGCTTTAGGATGTCTGGTCCCAATCTGAGGAGTTTAGGTTGAGACTAAAGGCCAAGGCCATGCTCAAGGAATCTCAGGGGAGAGTGGGATCCTCTCTCCCCAGCAGCCAAAACTGGGGGCTCCAGCCAAGGGTAAGAGGCACCCACGGCCCTGGGATGGGACAAGGGACAAGGGGACAGGGCTGTCACAAGGCCAGCCAAGGCTCCTGCTCCCTGATAAGGGAACACAGGGCCCAGGTCCCTCCCTGAGGTATGACAAGGCCTTTCCCTGCTCCAAGCAGGAGCCAAATCCCAAGGGATGAATCATTAACACGGCCCTCGCCCCTCTCCAGACCACAGGAGACACCTCCCCCACTTCCCTCCCAAATCTCCATCTTCCAGTCACCCTTCCCTATCCAGGAGTCCCCTCAGCCTTTCTCTCCCAAATCACCATCCCCAGGTTCCCCTTCCTAGTCCAGGAGAACTCCATCCCCTCCTCTTCCAAATCCCCATCTCCAGACCACCCTTCCCAGTCCAGGCTGGAAGGGGAAGTGGTGCCCATGGGAATGACTCAGGTGCCTGAGGCAGATTTTTCCATGGGGTTTTTCTCCCTCACCGTCTCATCCTCGGGGATTGGGATCTTGCTGTCGAAGTAGGTGGTGAAGGGCTCCTCCTCGGTGTCCTCGGGGGGCTGCAGGGGGCTCCTGCTGCTGGAGATGGTGCTGACCACCCCCCCGAGTCCCCCGGGCTCCCCAGAGACATCCTCTGCAGGGAGAGAGGAAATGGGAATAGTGAGAATCCCTGGAAAGGCAAGAAATTCTGGTAGGGGCTGGCAAGCCCCACAGGCAGAGTAGAAGGAGCCAGCCAATGCTAATTAGGTGATAAAGAGATAATTAAATCAAAATATCCCACACTGCTGCACCCCCCAGAGCCTGCTGCCGTCCTGGAATCTCCTCTCCCACCCGGTCCCAGGCTGGAGACAGGGATTTATTTATTCCAACTAATTTTAAAAGCCCCATCCCAGGACACAATGTGGAGTGAGGGCAGTGCCAGTGCCCCTGCAATGATTAACCAGGCTGGATGACCCAGATTCCATGGAAATCTGGGGCTGCTCCTGCACCACTATCCCAGACTCTCCCAGCTGGATCCCAGGGACACACGTCTGGAAGTGAGGGACAGCTGGGAGACACCACACAACTCCCCCCACAGGGAGAGCCAGTACTGAGAGAATTCCAGGAGTTTCAAAAGGTAAGGAGTGAGGAGAATGTCCAGCAATGGACACACACATTCCCACATTCCAACACCAGCCCCCCGCCACCTCCAGCCGAAGTCCCGATCCCGATCCCGTACTCACTCCCAATCCTGTTCTCACTCCCAGTCCCGCTGTCTCTCCCACTCTCCCCATGGGACATTTCCCTCCAGGAGCAGTGTCCCAGCGCTCTGGGCTTGGACAGGGCAGCTCTTGGCCCAGCTCTCCTATTGCATCACCACCGAGCTCCTCCTTTTCCCGGGGCCTCCCAGAAACTTGCCAGGGCCACATTTACATAAGGGATTTGGAGCTGCCCAGGTGTGCAGAGATCCCTGCCCAGGATATTCCTGCCAAGACGTTCCTGCACAGGCTGGGCTGGTTCGGCTGGTTCAGCCAGGCTGAGACCCTGGGGTGCCGTGAACCTCCTGCTGGGATCACCCCAGCACCCTGGGGCTCATCCTGGCACCCATCCCAGCACCCCGGGGCTTATCTGGCACCCAGGACTTAGCACCCTGGGGTTCATCCTGGCACCCTGGAACTTATCCCAGAGCCCAGAGCTCATCCTGGCACCCCGGGACTCATCCTGGCACCCTGGGATTCATCCCAGAGTCCAGAGCTTGGGACTCATCCTGCCACCCTGGGACTCATCTCGGAGCCCAGAGCTCATCCTGGCACCCCAGGACTCATCCTGGCACCCCGGAACTCATCCCAGAGCCCAGAGCTCATCCTGGCACCCGGGACTCATCCTGGTATCCCAGGACTCATCCCAGCACCCCAGGGCTCATCGCAGCAGCTCCAGAGGAGCCTGGAATGAAGGAAAGGAAGGAGGATTAGGAGGGCAGCCCCCGCCCCATGCCCGGTCCAGCCTCACCATAGGACGCCTTCCGCTCCATATCCGAGCTCCCCATGGTGGAGCCTTTCCCGTGCTCCGGGGACTGGTTTATTCTGGACACATTGGCTGCGAAGGAGAAGGGAAAAATCCTGTCAGGAAGGAGAATCAGAGCTGGCAGGAGAGTGGGGACAGCCAACAGCTCTGGCAGGGACAGATCCACTTCCCAGACTCTTTTCCAGCTCTGAGAAACCCGACAGGGATGGACTCACTTCTGGGCCCTTTTCCAGCTCTGAGGGTCCTGGCAGGGAGGGGTAATTTGGGCTGGGACCTGCTGGGAAAGTCCCCCATCCTCCCCCCAAAAAGGACTGACGGGCACCAACGTGGCAGGAGTGTCCACAGGCAGCTGGAGCTGGTTGTGAAACTCCAGTCCAGGAAACAAGGGTGGAATTTCCTCACTGTGGAAACCACAACCCACCCCCCCTTCCTGGTGCTTATGGCACCCCTGGCACCCACAGTACCCTCCAAACCCTCCCAGAACCCCACCACCACCCCTCAAACCCTCCCAGCATTCCCCCAGCTCTCCCAGGCATTGGGAATTGGGTTAAGGGCAGGTTTAACTCCTTCATCATGATCTGGGTTTAAATCCAACCCACGCAGGACTGAGCCAGAATCTGGGCTGGGGCTGGGACTGGAGCAGGAGGGAACCAGAAACTGGGATGGGACTGGGAATGGAGCAAGAGGGAATCAGAAACTGGGATGGGACTGGGAATGGAGCAAGAGGGAATCAGAAACTAGGATGGGGATGCAGCAGGAGGGAGCTGGGGATGAGCTGGTACCCTCCAGGCTCTGGAGGTTCAACCCCCTCAAGCCCCCAAGGACGAGCCAAAGTCCCTCAGTCTGGTCTGTAAAGCACTTAATCCCTCCTCAAATCCCATTGGATTTGAATGGGAGATTGCCATAAAACAAAGGAATACTGGTTCAGTGAGGATGTAAAAGAAAATCATCAGCCAGGGATTCAGTTTAAGCGATTTGAACCAATTTTAGGGTTTTAAAGATGAATTCCCAGTTTCACAACCAGCCCCAGAGGCGTGTTGTGACTGAGCCAGGTGCTGAAATCACCTGAGATGGACTAAAACACCTGAGAGGGACTGAAATCCCCCCAAAGATGCCAAAGTCACCTGAGAGGTGGGGAGACACTGCTGGAGCCACAATTGTTGGGTTTCCACCCAGACCACCCCAGGTTTGGAGCGATGACTCCAGGGGAACGTGGGCACTGACCCCTCTGGACCCCCAAAATCCCCACTCCCACTGAGGCACAGCAGGGAGTTGTGTTATTCCCCCACTTTAACCTGGACTGTTTGCACAAGCACATGGAGTCATGGAATATTGGAATGTTCCCAAAAAGATCACTGAGGCCAACTCCTGGCCCTTCATGGGACACCCCAAAAATCCCCTTGGACACCCCCTGCCCCTTCCAGGCTCCAATCACCCCAAACTGCCACATGTCGTGGGGAGAAAGGGGAGGAAACACCTCCAGGAGCTGGATTTGATCCTTGTAGGTCCCTTCCAACTGGGACATTCCATAACCTCCTGCCACCTCCCAGCCGCAGCCCTGGACTTGCCCCAGCAGTTCCCCCCTGAACTAGGACCACCTCCCAGCTCTGACCCCACCACTTCCCTTCTTTGTTAAGCGCCAAACCCCACAGCTTCCACTAAAACAACCCCCTAAAGTTCAGCAATAATCCACCTTTTCCCAAATTGAGATCCAGGAGGAGCAGCCTTACCCTGGCAGTGAGTCGCACCGGAGCCTCACTCCATGAGGGGCGAGGAGGACAATCCTGAGGGAACGTTCGTTATGGACCCACCTCAGTATCTGCCCCCACACCAGCCCAGCCCGGGCAAGGGTGGGAGGGGGCCCCTTATCTGCTCCAGCAGCTGCTGGGCTGGGAGATGGATCCACCCCTGGCACAGGGAACGTGTCCCACGGGTGCCCACAGAGCCTTCTGTGGGAGGATGACACCAGGGACCCCACCTGGCTGCCCCTCCTGTCAGGCAGCTGTGGAGAGGGAGAAGGTCCCCCCTGAGCCTCCTCTTCTCCAGGCTGAGCCCCCCCAGTCACCCCTGGTGCTCCAGCCCCTTCCCCAGCTCTGTTCCCAGCTCCAGCCCCTCAATGTCCTGCACTGGGGACCCAAAACTGATTCCAGGATTTGGGGTTTGGCCTCAGCAGTGCCCAGCACAGGGGGACGGGCACTGCCCTGGTCCCAGTGGTCGTGCTGTGGCTGACACGAGCCAGGTGCCCGTGGCCTCCCTGCCCACCTGGGCACACTCGTGTCCTTTCCCACCGGACACAGGCGTGGGCTCACCAGGCTTTGCCTCCTGGTGGTCAAACCCCCACTGTGACCCCACTGCTGTTACACCCAACAGTCCCAGGCATTCCCAGGGGAATATTCCCTGGAATACCACAAGCCCTGAGCAGAACATCACGAGGTCACTCCACAAACCCGCCGACACCGTGCTGCTGTGCAGGCCTTCTCCACCCACAGAGTAAACAACAAACCAGGAACAACGGGGCCCTTGTTCCACTCCCCCCTTCAAACCCACTGTCCAACAGGTCCTTCCAACAGCCACGGGCTCATCCTGCTTCTGCTCCTCCCCTCAGGGCACAGGAGCAGCCTGGCCCCGTGCTGGGAGCAGTTCCTGCCATTGAGGTCGTGCCTTTGATGTGGGGCTTTGAGCCGGGCTGGTCCCTGCAGGGCAGGCAGGATCCTCACAGATCCTTCTGGAGCAGTTTTGGGGCCAACATCTCATTTTGCTCCACACACAGACACCCTGTGGGCTGGTGGTGACACCGTGAGCCCTTCACCTGCTCACCCTGACCCCTTAGTCCAGCCCTTCCAGGTGATGTCCCACTGGGAGCCCCAGGCACAACACCCCAAACTGGCACAGACAGCCCATCGTCCCAGCAAAGGTAACTGGTGAACTGGGTGGTGACTGGTGCTGGGAGAATGGGTGGACTGGATGATCTCAGAGAGCTTTTCCAGCCTTGATTCTCCAATTCCACCCCCTTGACCACCTTCCAGGTGTCCCCTGGCACTGGCTCCACCAGGGCTGAGACCTGGAAAACCTTTTCCTTTGCACGGACCTGGGGGGGTCCCCCTGGGGAGCAGCACAGGGTCCATCCCTGTGGGATTCCTCCCCCCTCCCTGTGCCCCACTCCTGCCCACGACCTGAGAGGACTAAGCCAGCAGCGACCTCTGCTCCTGTTGCACGAGGACAGGTCACCTGCCCACATCTGAACAGGTCAGACCAGCTTGTTCCCTGCCCATCCCTCACCCGTCCCACATTCCAAAGTCAGGATATGCCTGGGTGCAGGAGGGCATGGGGGGGCTGAGCCCAGCCCTGCTCACCTGCTCACACAGGTGTCCTCTCCAGGAAATTTGGAGCATGACCTGGTTCTTTCTACAGAAACACACGGAAACAACTCCCCGGCAGGGAGGAGCAGCTTCCTCCCAGCCTGCTCAGGAGCAGCTCTCTTCCCAGCCTGCCCCAGCTCCTGGATTTGGGAGCCGAGCGTGGGACAGGTGGCTGACGCACACCTGAGACTGCAAGAACTTTCACCATCTGTAATAAACCACCCGCGTCCAACCCACAACAACACGGGGCCGTTATTCCACCACCGGCTGCACCGTCCCGCTCTCCCACATCTCGAGAGCTCGTCCGAGGGCTCCCCTGCCCGTGGCCGAGCCTCCTCCCAGCGCGGGGGGGGCCGGACCCCCCTTCCGAGCGCACCTTCACCCACAGCCACGCGCGGACCTCGGCCGGGAGCGCAGAGCCCTGCCCGGACACAGCGACATTCCCTGAAGTGCCCCGGGA